GGCCGCCGCCGCCTTATCGGCCGCTCGGCCCAGGCGCAGCCTGCTGGAGCTGGAGATTAGAGTTGTTTTCGCCGAAGGTGCATCGCACCGCGCAGGAAAGCCCCGCCAGCCCTTCCCCAGGGCCCAGCCCTGCTCTCTGCACCCAAAAATCCTGCCCGGGTCTTGCGCACCTTAAACACTGCAGCGACACTTTACAGCCTCTGTAAAAGCACTCACAATTGCCACTTTGTCAGTAAATCCAGCCTAATCCACACCCTCCGTTAACTTTTCCAATGTTATCCAGCTGCAGGGAAGTCAACATTTGTCAAGCTCCTAGAGCAACACAGCCAAGAGTGGGAGATCATCCCTGAACCCATCGCCAAGTGGTGCAACATCCAGGCAGCTGAGGATGAATACGAGGTGTGCGCGGGATTCGGGAAGCTTGGGGGGAAAGATGGGAAGCAGAAGAAGCTGCTGTGATTGGCCAGGGAGCCATCCCAAAGTTCAGCTATTCTGAGCCTGCAGCATCCACAGTCACCCTCACCATCACACCAACTGGTCAGACACTCAAATTGTAAAGGAAGAGACTATTGAATGCATATTACAAATAACCCTTACTCCACAGAAATCACATTTAAGTCTGAAATTTAGTGAACCACCTAAAGAAGCTCCCATGGAAACATTTACTGAGAAACTAAACCCTTTATTCTGTGCCTAAGCATTTTCAAAAAAAATCCCACAAACCACAAGGCCAACAATTCTTGCTTCAATGTAGAATAAAATCCTGTAGATATGCTATTAAATTTTCTCTCTTACTCACTAGGAACTTTCAACATCTCAGAAGAGTGGAGGAAATCTACTTCAAATGCTCTATGATAAACCATCAAGATGGGCTTATACATTTCAGACTTATGCTTGCTTGAGCAGAGTGAGAGCTCAGTTAAAACCTGTCTCAGCCAAGCTACGGGAAGCAGAACATCCAGTGCAATTTTTTGAGAGATCTGTGTACAGTGACAGGTAATTACTCTCACAAGTTCAGATTAAAAGCTCCAGATCTTTATGCTTGAAGTCATGATGCTGGAAAACACTTGATATTAAAACTAGGATCTGCAAGAAGCAGGTCTGATTCTACAAGAGTACTGTACAGATACAAGAGTGGGCAGCTATTTTTTCAGTACCATGATTCTGAGTCTAATGAGAAGTGGTCTAGTAGTTCACTTAAGTCTCATGCCACAAATGACCAATGTTTTTCATTGCAGATATGTATTTGCTTCTAACCTGTTTGAGTCTGGAAACATTAATGAAACAGAGTGGGCTATTTATCAGGACTGGCACACGTGGCTTTTGAATCAGTTTGAATCGGATATAGAACTGGATGGCATGATCTACCTAAGAACCACACCTCAGGTATGTTAGCAATCTTCATCTCCAATTTGTTTCCAGTAGGGTAAAAAACCCCAAGTATTCACTAACACTGAATTAGCCCCCCACCCCAAATGTAGGAAGCCTGTCATGAATTCAGATTTCACTCAGAGACCAAATTAAATGCCCTCCCTTCTGACCTAATCTAATGACTAATCTGATGTCAGTTGCTAGCACCCACCATTCCCAGCAAGGATCCAAGGCTGAAAGTGAACTTCTCAATCAAAACTGACGTCCCTTCCCATACAGTCCTGAGTTGAAATACTGACATTTAGCTGAGGTGCATCAAGTTTTTTCTATTTGTAAAGAAAAGTTATTCTAATTTAACTAATTTATATTCAGCCAAGCACTTAAAATTAATGTGCACTCATGTCTAGCATTAGTCCTTCTGAGAAAAGGACTATGTGAGCTGTTTATCAGACTGAGCCTTCAAAACATTAATGTCCAGGCTTGTATTTATTTTATTCAGAAATGCATGGAAAGGCTACAGATGAGAGGAAGAGAAGAAGAACAAGGGATTGAGCTTGAGTATTTGGAAAACCTCCACTATAAACATGAAACCTGGCTTCATGAAAGGACTATGAGGTATGAACCCATTTTCTGTAGCCAGTTTCAACTTACAGAAAAGGCTCTTTCCTACCTTATGGTAAAGTTGATTAGGATAAAGCTTAAGATTAAGACTAGCTTCACTCAGGCAGTGTTGGAAGGACTTATCTTTAGACCCATTCTGGGTTTCTTGGCACAGAGATGACTGGACTTAAACGCAGAGGGAAGGTCATACCTTGTCAGGGAAATAAAAATTGCCAAGAGATGGAACAATCTAATTTACAGCATTTATTAAGTATTAGCTTCAACTGTGTATCCAACTCCAGCAAGGACATCAATGTTGTGAACTGACAGTACACAGGAAGAGCAGAGAGCTGCAATGGTGTTCAGAGCCTGTCACATAAGCTACCTACTAAGCAGCTTCCAGTTCCAATGTAAGGGAGGGCAAAGTCCCAACTACCTTTAAACTAGGATGACTGTATTTCAGGAAGGTTTAAATATTAATCCTAGCCTCAAAATAAATAACCAGAAAGTGCCTTTTAGCAGACATTATTAGACACAAGAAACCCAGTCAGTGACTACATACCTCCTCCTCAACTTCCTTACAGAGTGTTACTAGCTTTCCTAAGTAATCTCTAAATGTGAAAGGAGACTATATTTTCCCCTGATATATCCTACTGAATGGGAAGGTTAATAATTCCAGGAAAAGTACATTATCAGTCACATCTGTTTTGCTAAGTTTCATGTAGCATGACTTAAGTACTTAGAAGACAAGAAGGCACTGCATATTAAGGAGTTTTGGTAATGTTTACATAGTATACTCATTCCAAACTTGTGAGCAAGCATTTCCTGTATTTTTCATAGGAACACTTAAGCTTGCAAATACAAGGATGTTGTTAAATACGATTTAGTGTATTTTAGAAATGCTTTTCACACACAGGAAAAGACAGAAACTACTGGTCTCGTTTGCTCCTAACCTGTAGCCAAAACGGTGTTGTTTATCTTCAAGTAATTTGAAATACCCTGGTGTCTTATAACCTGTTAAAGAGGTCATGCGCATGAAAGGAAGCTTTAAAACTGCATCTTAGTAAATGGATTAGCAGTTAACTAGAAAGGGGAGGGGGAGACAAGGCAAGTGTTACTATAAAAAAATTACTCCCTCATCAAAATCACATTTCTGATAACCAATTCCATTAAAAAAAATTATACAAAGGAAATTAAGGTAAGAAGCATAAATTTCCCCCTACTTGTACAATAAAAATAGGTATTAAGATGCCAGACTTGGCAAATACACTAGTTACATTGATAAAATCTTGTACTGGGTTATACAAGAGCAATGAAGGACAGACTTGACTTGGGCTGTACGTTTAAGTCATGGGCATCAACATTAACATCTCAGGTGCATCTGGTGATCTGTGCCAACTCTGCACCCTTTGGATGGTTTGGAAAGCAACTGAAAAGGTGGACTGTTTTATACACTACTTCATACCCTTTTTCTCCCTTTATGTTCTATTTAACAGAGTTGATTTTGAGAACCTTACAGAGATCCCCATTCTAGTTTTGGATGTTAATGAAGATTTTAAGAATGATAAGATTAAACAGGAGTACCTGATTGATAAGGTAAATACTGTTTCCTCATAATCTGCTTTTCTTCTACAGTCATACTATAAGTTACCAATTTACATTCTGCAAAATTGTGATGAAATGTTTAAGGGAAGTTTCCTTCACAGACTTAAGCAGCTACATGGCTGCAAATAAGGCTTTTATCTTTACTTAAAATTAACCCCTCATAGTCAAAATTCAAGGGAAAATGTTTTTAAAGAGAGGTAATCACAGGGGATGAAAATACACAGCAGCTGGAGCAGTCAGACTACTCTGCCATGTCTGCACTGCCACTGTTCACTAAATAGTTCACAAAATGATACTGTCCAATTCATGTCAGCCATGATGTCCTCAGAAAAATAATGCAGTCAACTCTGTACTATTTATACCTCCCTTGCATTCTAGGGATCTGGGCTTTTCCTGGACAGAGCACAACACATCCCACAAACGCAGACATAACTGAACCTTGTATGTGGTTCTACATGCATGAAGTGACACCTTTAAGTAGAGTTGGGAGGGAGGGAACAAGGTGATAATAAACAGGTCACCCGAGTCAAAATGGTGTTTTCCAGTTCCAAGGAAAAGCAAGACTTAGGAATTAAATGCTAAAGTTCATCTGCTGGAGCCATGTGCTGTGTGCCCAGCCCACAGAAAAAAAACCAAAAGAACAAAACAAAACCACAACATCCTAATACTTAAAGATGTAGTGCTTATCCTCAACTCTTGATGTAGAGCTGATTTCTGTCACTAGGACACTTGAACCAAGACTATCCTTACAAGATGGAAAGACATGCCCTCCCATCAAACCATATAAACTATTTTCTGCACCGTGTACTGGGTCAGTGATTCAAGCCACTGCTAATTCTCACAACTAAACAGCTCTGTATAAAACAAGGAGGGGAGCAGTCTCTTCAGTTGCAGAGATGTATGTAATTAAAGTATATCCTCATGGAAACCAGCATTTAACAGACGTGAAGCAGACTACACTTGTACACACTATCTTTCCTGTAACTTGCCCCACTGCAAGGTGCCCCGTGTTGTCTCCACTGAACTCCCTTCGCCACTCAGCATATGGAAAGGTCAGCTCTGGTTTTAGCTGTAGAGAGTACAACACGACCCTGAAAGTGCTACCAGATCTTTGGCTTACTTTTCAGAAAACCCCTCTCCTCCTAGGAAAGAGCTGCCAGTGAAGAAAAAAAATAAATTAAGTAGCATTCTGTAAGGCATTCCAGAAGCTAAAAGTATTTCAAGTGATAAATTACTTGTAGGGGCAGAACAGCACTGCAGGCTGTACAGTAACAAACCATTTGTTCCCTAAGAAAGGAAAAAGCTTAATTATTTGGCTTCTCCTTTAATGCATTAAATATATATGCTTCTTGATTTCACAGGTCAAGTCTTTCCTGACTTCCTAAGAACATGGAAATTAATTTAAATGACAAGTCGCAGAGGTTCAGGTATTAAACCTAACAATCTGTGTGTCTTTGTAGACTTTACTTTTAACTAAACCTGTATACTTTTTTAAGGCAAGACTGTGCAAAATATGGCCTGAGGGTTTTTTGTTTGTATCACCTGTGTGGGTTTTAGTAGAATTTTTTGTATAGTTAAACTGAACAACTGTGAGGTGCTTTGTTAATGTATTTTGTGTATATTCTCTGCCGTTTTAATAAAGACTTTTAAAGAATATTGACTAATAAGTGGCTTTACTGATGGAGGAGTTAACCGGTTATCAGCAGCGGACAACCCAGCGACGACGACAGCAGGCGCCGAGGCCGGGTTGTTTTGCAATAACTGCCATAGTTCACCATTTTAAGACGAGGCTGTTATGGCGTCCAGAAACCTTTACTTTCAACTTCTGTTTTATTGAGTGGCTGCTTTCACATTTTTCACGCTACTTAAGGGCAGGCGTTACTGTAGTCGCAAGGGTTACACCTGTAACAAACTGACGTAAAACCTTGTTTACGACTTCCCAGTCCCGAGCGCACACGTTCCATCCGTCCCCCCCCC